TGCCAATCCCCCCCCCCCCTGGCGCAGCGTGTGTTCGAATTTCATGTAAATAAACAATGTATTTTACACGCGCTGTATACGTCGCTATGAGTCCCATATCGAACAGGACGCGGCACGACGACTGCCACCCTTTAATTTACAGAAAGACGAACCCTTGTTCTCACCAGAAAAAAAGTACTGTGCCAGTAAATGACATAATAATCATGTGACCACTAAATGTCTGCTATATTTATTTTACCTAATATAGTTCTGAGTTGAATCCTTCGACCTGTGCTGCAACATGGAACTCTAAAGAATCGCAGTTATTCGGGCGTTATAACAACAGTCAGCGGAGAATTGAGAAAATGGTCTTGGAAGAGGTTGGTGGAATAGTTTTTTTTTTTTTGTCCAGGATGTACCAGCTACTAATTATCCTCCAGTAATTCTTGTTTACCGTAAAAAGCAGGGGGTCGTCACCTGCACATGCGCGGGAATTGAGTCCCAAGCGACGATAACAACGCACGCTAAAAACGCAAAGGCTCATGGGTAGACGCTTGTTTGTACACGCTATGGGAATCTGACGCATGCGCAGGTGACGACTCCCCCGCTTAAAGGAAACATCAATCCAAATCATTTTCTCAATTTCTGACAACAGATTCTATGATGTCATACTTTACCTATAATCCTTTGTTTGAAAATCAAGATGGCTGACTACATAATACTGATGAAAAGTTGAATATCTAATATTGAATATCTTGTATGTTTTCCAGATATACAATAAAACTGAGGGTGATTATTGGTACAGGAATAAATACTGGATGAACGATACAGTAGACCAGTGTTGCTGGGAAGGTGTCGTATGTAACACCGAGGGGCTCGTTACAAAGCTTCTTCTGCAAGTAAATAACATGACTGGTGACGTGCCTGATGTGTCACGTTTTCAACTTTTAGATCGATTAGACCTGAACAGAAACAATTTGAAAGGTTCCTTAGCTGACATTCTCAACCCGAATATGACCTATCTGCAGAATATCACGCTCTCCTTTAATGACTTCTCAGGGACGCTAGACGACGTTCTTATCCAAAACATGCCACTTCACTTTGTACAATTGAGTATGAATACACAAATCAATGGAACGTTGCCAAGGGGGCTATGTGATAAGGTCAACTTGACAGTGCTCAGTGTCGGGGAAACTAACATCAGCGGTAGCATCCCTGGTTGTCTGGGTTACAACACACCCCGATTAAGATTTGTGGACTTTGAGTACACACGCATGCGCAGTCGATTTCCTGAATCTCTCACCTATTTGCAAGAATTACAATCGATGCACATTTCCGAGATGGGACTGTATGGCGACTTTCCGAGCACGTTCGGTTATAACTACAGTATAGTGGTTGACTTTGTTGCCGCCAACAACGAGCTAACGGGAGAAATCCCAGAAGGCATAAAATATATGACTGGACTAGAACGACTGGACATTTCATATAACAATTTGTCAGGTTGTTTGCCGACTGAACTGGTGGAGCTTCCTCTTCTCACTCGTGTTGTAGTTAAAGGAAACAGTTTCACTAGTTTGCCGCCGGGGGCGTCTTTCACTGGTGGAAATCTCCATCTGTTAGATTTATCCGAGAATCCATACCTCCGCGTAGATTTTTCGGTCGTGATGCACTTAATACAAAATTCCACAGCCCTTAACTGGTTGAACATTTCTCACACGGGCATCCACGGACCGCTAGACCGAAAACTTTATAATTTCGAATATCTAAACTGCATTGATCTAAGCCACAATTATATTACAGGGAGAATACCGGATACGAGAGTTGACATGCCATTTTTAACAATTTTCGATCTTTCATTTAACCGATTAACCGGCAGTGTGCCGGGTACATACGTAATCCTATCTACTCTGCGATTTCTAGATGTTCACGGAAATAATAAAATGCGTAGCTTTTCGCCGCGGGTTCATCATGACGATGGACTCTTTGTATTCGACATGGACCAAATGATGACCATCCCGAACAAAAATTACTCGTGTCCCAGTGTTCGAATGAAGAAACGAAACTACGGAGTGTGTAACGTTATACTCGATCCAGTGTATTATTTTTACGATCACTGCACTTGCAATGAGCATTTCTATGGTAACGCAGGCTACTGTGAACCCTGCTTGCCACACGGCACATGCAAAGGCAAACAGGTAAACGCCACTATGGAATGGAAAACTAATTTCTGGCCTGCACCTTCACTGGAAAACGTCACAACGATAGAAGAATGCATCACAACACAGACGGAAAGCCCGGCTTGCAATTCGAATGGGAACTGTACATGCTGGCTGGGTGTTGACGCTGCCACGGGTCGCCATGTTACTAAATGCGATTCGTCCTGCGTTTGCCAGGAAAACCACAAAGGGAGGCTGTGCTTAGAGTGTAAAAACAGTAGCTTCTATCTGAATGGGCACTCCTGCCGACCGTGCTATGACGGACAAAATAAGACGTACAAAGCATTGATAGTAATCACATCTGTGACTGTATTCTTAGTCTTGTTGGCGTGGTTTCTCCGTTGGCGATATGGGCGACAACGATTTGAACACGTTTTACTCACAACTGCGCTTCAAATAGCTGCCTTGGCCGCTAATTTAATACTCTGCGCAGTTGGACGAGCACCTTTCTGGGGATTTCAGTTGACTTTGATTGTCGTCGTTGGTAATTTATCTGGGATTGCCGGAAACGCCCAAGGTATTCTTAACGGGTTTGTTTTTTATATACAGTTATTGGAAGCCATTTTACGTACATATCCTGTCGCACCGTTCGAAGTTTACAAAGCTCTAATTTTTGTCAAAGAATCTTTCAATTTTCAATTTCAAAGCATGGCATGCCTTATACCTCTAATGTTCAAACCTCCTTTCCACCTCTTAATGACAATTTCCGTACCCGTTATGTGCATTGCTGCTATTGGTGTACTGATTGCTATCGGAGCTGGTTGGAATTATTACAGAATTAGACGTTTCATCGCCGACCCAGCCAATGCTCAATTATTGCAACCGAATGCCGGGTTAGACTGGCGCCCATTCGAGAATTTTTGCTACAAATGTGGGGGTGTGGCTATTTTTCTTTTAAACGTGATGTACTTTCCGATTGTTAAGCAATCGTTGATGGCGCTTACAATCTGCGATGTGGATAAAGCAACCGGGAAGTTGTACATGCACAACTATCCTACCATACCGTGTGAAGGTGTTCTTTGGATAGAAATATTTCTAACTTCCATATGCGCGCTTGTAATATACGGAATTATCATGCCTGTGTGCTTTGGTGTTTTACTTGCCAAATACATGCCAACTCGGCGTCGCATTCAACTCTCAAACATACAAACCCCCGAAATGTTGAGACGTCTGGAAAACATACAAAGCTTTCTGGGAAAGTTTTTCAGGCCATATAAGGATATGTTCGAGTACGTGGAGATCGGGTATTTGTTCCGTAAGCTGTGTCTCGCCATACTCTTATCGTGTATACCCCGTGGCACAGTCATGCAACCATTTGCCGTTGCTGCAGTTTTCGCAATCGCGTTACAACTTCAGCTTCGTTACCGACCATACCAAGGCGATCTTGAAAACCGTCTCGAAGAATTCGCCCTTTGGATTTTGCTTTTCACCTCATCTTGCGCAGGGTTTCTTTACTTGGCAAGCGTCGATTTATATAACATACCCTTTGCGGAGTTTGTCATATTCTCCTTCGTTGCACTCAACCTCCTCGTATTTTTCGCCTATGTCATCGCACTGATTGCCCGGCTTTGTAAGTTTTGTGAACGAGAGCGCCCTCAGGCGGAGGTGGTCGATATTCAACATGAACAGCCAGGACCGCCATGAAGAGAAAAATGGCGCTGGGCATGCGTAATAACGATAGAATTCATCGTTTCACTGACAACAATCGTGAACTTGATCAAAATAGGGGCATTAAATACCAGTGAAAATCAGTGGTTTTACAATATGAGTAATGACTCGTTGTGGTTTATGGTGATTTCAGTCTCGGATGTTATGACGTAAGAAACCGATAACAACTTCTCTGTATTGAGATGCAAGATTCACACAAAATATGTTCAAAAGATTATACAAATGCTTTTTTTGGAACTCCGTGAACACTATTTTAGAAACATATGAACGCCACAGTATTCGATAGCTTGCACCAATCAGTGTGTACTTACAATTACAAGGAAGTGTACATCTGTTCCTAAAACAAGCACTGATTGGTCATTCGCTTTTATGACGTTTGTTCGTGCCTGTTCAAATACTCAATTACAGGCCTTGTCGGTGTGGAATTAGGAGAAATACTCTGGCGGGCAAGAATGACGAGTTCACCGGGGTCATCACCGGCTTAAAATCCCGGGTTCACTCTATATGCTGTTACTACCCCATGTGCGTTCCAAATTTAGCGGGAAAGCGGGGTGTTTTTCACCTTCTAGAGCGGGCCCGCGCGAGAGGCAAATATACCCCCTTCAAAATGCTAGTGTCTGCAATAGGACCCCCAGGAATAAACTCACAGGGTGGCTGCGCCCGCTGTAGGCCCCTCTCTTGCAACAACCACTCTCATACACCGCCATAGGCGTGCCCATAGCCCCGACTAGGCCGCAAACGTCCGCCTGAACTTTACCCGCCACTTCCAACACGAGCATACGGAGAAGGCTTATTGTAATCGAAGAAACGAAACGAAACAGGATAACACACCCAATAAAAATTGAACTGTATTCAGTGAATATGGGTTTTATATGCGCAATATTTACAAAATATTTGCCGAAAATAATAATAATTAATACGTATATGGCTCGTTTCGCTAATTACAGATAATCAAAAATCTGTAATCAGGGAATACACGTACATTATTAACAGCCGTCGGTTGAAACTCAACTAGTATATTCACCTTTCAGTAGTGTATATATAACAACATAAAACATATTCAAAAATCTGTAATGAGCCTAAGCAAAACAAGGGTGTGACACGTACAATATTCACAATTGTCTGTCATGCTCGGACATTGCTTCTTCGGACATCGGGTGTCATATTCTTCTTTTTGGTCCCTTCCTTCTCTTCATTTCTAATAATAATTCTGATAATAATTTCAAGGAGCGCAAACTTTTGGATGTGTCACACACGGTGTACTAATATAGAATGATCACAAGGACAGGGCGTGCGTGCGTTGTTT